CATGCCCCCTACTGGGGATTGAGCCCTCAACCCAGGCTTGTGCCCTGACCAGGAATCAAACCATGACCTCCTGGTTCATAAGTCCACGAGCCATGCTGGCTGAACTGATTTTTTAATGAAAAGCTTTTCCTATTATCTGGCTTCTAAAATGATTTAGATCCTTACCTCCGACAGCCACCACAGAAGTAAATGTTACTTCACTGTCACATGTACACCTCTGTTTAAAAAACTCTTCTAGAATTCAAGAACCTGCATTAGACATGAACCTAGAATTAAATACTATAATTGTGCTACTCATCTTTGCTTCTGTCAAACATTCAGAGGCTTTTCCTTCCCTGAATCTTTTGCTGCTCCTATTGGTTGTAAAATGTCTGTGGAGCAAAAAAAAAAAAAAAGAAAAAAAAATCAGATAGTAATGTGGTGCTTAAAAGCTAGAGCACTGGATGGAGACTTCTGGATTCAGCTGTGTCATTTACTTAAACCTTCTGAGTCTTAGTTTCCTCATCTCTAGAATGAGGGTTACATAGGTATGTATCCCACAAGATTGCAAAGAGAATATGAATTAAAGCCCCCCAAATGGTACCTCACACGTCATAGGTCAGTATGTATTGCCAATGTTCCTATAGTAATTATCAATATTAAAATATGCCAATGACAGCTATCTTTATTATTTCCATCTATTGCCATAGAAAGGGAAGGGAAGGGAATATGTATGCTCTTTTTTTCTCCCATTTCCAGGCTAAGCCCTGACTATAAGCATTTCTCCAACATAAGAAAGAATGACCTTCGGTGATAGCTTATATGAAATTCCCCCAACCACTAAAGCTCCTTTCTTTCTGATCTGTCATGAGTGGAGATGGGAAGCAGTTTTCAATTTTCCTCACACTGAACCTTTGTGTACCTGAAATAGTCTGCTCTTATCTGTCCATTTCTCTCCTAAATTGTAAAGCCCCACATCTTAACCTCTCAATGAGAAATCATTTTCGGGTGCAAACTACTGAATCATATCCAGTTTCCCCACAGCCCTCTGAAAACTCTCATTCCTTCTGGGCCGCAGTCCTAGGGTTAGATTGCCCAGGAGGGGGCAATGTGCAGGTTGCAAGAAGCCTGCCACCCTCAGGCAATCACATTTATTTAACAGGGTCCGCTCCACTCCCGTGGTATTTTTGCCAACTTTCTGGAAACGGTCCATCACAGGCAAGCAGGCCTGGAGAGCTATGTAAACCAATTGGGGAAAAAAAATATATGGAACCCGAGAGATGATTAAGCAAGAAATTAAGTGTTAAACCC